ATTAGTGTAGATTCTGTGGAGGCTCAGAGAAAAATGTGTCTTTCAAATTCTGGGCCCCTATATGGAGGAAACTCTATTTATACTTGTTCCAGTCCTTTGTCCCCCAAATTTGGAATGAGACTTGCGGGCCTTCTGAGAAAGAAGGCCTGCGTGCTGGGAAGGGGCCATGAGACCATATTTCAAGGCCTGGCCTGATGTCAGTACCTTCCTATCTGTGTGTTTTAGGAACAGACAGCACAGCATGACCCGTCTGGCCGAAGCGCCAGGTATGCACCCCAGCACAGGGCGGGTGACCATCCGCGGGTCCCCAACGTTCCCGAGAAGCATTTGGAATCTCTAGAAAGTCAGGGGGTGGGCAGTGCTCGTTCTTCGGCCGGGACACTCTAGGCCTGCCAGGACTCCTCAGGGAGCAGTTGAAAAACAAGTGTTTTGACTGCAGAGACTTGCCCTGGGCCAGTGCTGGGACTGGAGGGAGTGCACACGAAAAGCAGCCGGGTGTGTAAACACAGCGCCGGGCCTCCCGAGTTTAACGGAGTGGGGTTGGAGCAGAGCCTGGGGATTTGCTCAGGTTCCCAGCGAGGCTGCCTCTGCTGCTCGTGGTCCCAGGTCCGCGCTTTTAGGCCTGGGTTAGCAGGTGAGGACTGAGGGAAAGCCGCGGGTCAGCCGGCACTGGCTTCAAACCCGACTCCTCCACTTCCCACCTGTGTGCTTGAGGCCCCTGAGTGACTGTGACAGGGCCCCTGCCTCCAGCCGCCCCTGGTGGTTGGGGGCTGTCTGCTGCAGAGAATGGGGCCCTGGAACCTTTCTGTTCCTGCACCTCCTCCTCTGCAGGATGAAGCGAATAGCGCCTGTCACCTAGGGACCCGGCGGGTTTCCTGGAGGAGATGACATCTAAGCTGAAGCCGGAGAGATACGAAGAGGAGTTGGCCAGGGGTGGGTGAGGAGGCGGGCTGGGGCGTGTGTCAAACAGAGGGCCCCGTCGTGAGAGAAGCCCCGGGATCGGGAGCCCCGTCCTCCAGGGAGCTGGGAGGAGTGACGAAGCGGGCGCTTTGAGATACTGAAATGCTGCGAATCCGTTCCAGGCTGTCTCAGGGCAGGATCACAGTGGAGGGGACACGACCAAGGGCCGGGCGGGCAGCGGGGAAATGGGCTGTTGAGGTGGGCTTGGAAGCAGCCCATATCCCATTGGCCCCCAGGCAGTCACATGGTCCCAGCGAGATGCAAAAGGTGCTGGGAAATGTAGTCCCTGGCTGGGCAGGGGTGCACAGCTTCATGGGGGAGAGCTTCCTTCTGCCGCAGTGGCCCCTCTGTCCCCTGGGCACCTCTCTCAGTTCTTTACCTTGCTCACTCCGCTCCACGTTTCTGGTTGAGTGAATATTACAGATGAGGAAGCTGAGGTTCAGTGAGGGGAAGTCATTTGCCCAACGCCACTCAGCTAGTAGCAGCAGAGGCAGGACCTGAACCCAGATCTGTTTGTCCCAAAAGCCTGGTCAGGCCAGATCCTAGTCCTGGGTGCTTTTTGAGGGCCTCCCCATGATGCAGGCTTTCCTACTCAGGAGCTTTTGAAGCCGGATGACAGTAGGTCCGGGCTGCCTGTCACTACTTGAGCCAGTTAAGCAGAGACAGGGTTGAATCATGTCTGAGCGTGTATTCCAACACTGCCGGCGGCGTGAGAGGGCAGCAGGGCAGCCGTGAAAGTCTGTTCTGCGCCCCCATAAGCCAGAAGCTTATATTGGGTAGGAGGACAAAGATCACATGGGGAAGTAGGCAAAAGGAATAAGAATAGTTATTACAGGCGTGGGGAAGTAGGCAAGAGGAATAAAAGTGGGTAAATGGTTACAGATTGCAGGCAGTGTGACTGGGCGTTGCAAAGAGCCAGTGCCTTGTGGACTCCATTGTTTCAGCAACAAGGTTGTTAATCTTTCTATGATAATAGGCAGTTCCTGATGAGAATGGACCACAGTCACGTTAACTCCCAGGTCCCGGGGTGTACAACTCCCAGCCGGATCAGGATGTGCTTTCTTTAATCAGAACAAAGCACTCACAGTTAACGGAACATGATTAATACTTCCTATAACTACAGCTCGTCCCCATTATTCTAGTTCTGCCCCTAACACTGCCAGGCTAATTAACCCCCAGACACCGGGCAGTTATAGCCCCATAGTCCCTCCTCTCCCAGCCTGCAGTGCCCATTGTATCAGCAGAAGTTGCCCAGCTTCTCCAGTTCCTTGTGAGTTCATGCAGCGTGCATTTACGCAGGACCTGGCGTGTGCGTGCCTGGTGCTCTGCACTGGGAGAAAGAGGAGAATGAGACATGGCCCCTTTTGTTTGGGGCACACGGGGCTGGCCCCTGAGAGGGAGGCCGCGTAAACAGGGTTCCCCCTGAGAAGTGAGACAAGTTGTGTCCCTGGTTTCCTGGCATACACGGTGTCCTGGTACATGATCAGGGCGCCCAGCGAGTCATTAAAAATTAATATTCAAACTCTCAAGTGCATGTTGTTAAAGCTCTAATGAGAATAATTTGTGCGTTGTGTTCTAAAGTGTGTTTTTCTGGTTGTTAAAACCATGGTGTAGTCTGGCACCGTCACAGTTTTGTGTGAAGAAAGCCCTGGGCCTGGCAGCGGTGTGTACGAGCTGCAGCAGTGCCAGGCTGACCTGGCTCCTTGCTTCGTCAGTGAGTGAGTTCATGTCTCCTGGTTCTGGTGTGTGCGGAGGCTGGCTTTGAGGAGGGGCGGAGCGTGGGTGCGGAGGCTCTTGGGATTCCACCAGAATCGCCTCGGCAGGTGTCAGCCTCGGCACTGTGGGCAGTTGGCTAGACAACCGTGTGCTGTGGGGCCGCCCGCCCTGTAGGGAGCTCAGCAGCGTCGCTGGTCCGACCTGTTAGCAGCCAGTTACCACCCCAGAGCGTGACGACCAGAAATGTCTCCAGACACGGCCACGCGTCCCCTTGTTAGCAGCACTGCCCACTTCGAGACGACTCTTCTGGACGGCCCTTGTCTCCTGTTACGACTGTAGCAAATCCCAAACTGGTGGCTTAAAACAACACAGATTTCTTCTTCCAGGGGTTCAGGAGGTCGGAAGTTCGAAAGTCAGCGTGCCAGCAGGGCTGTGTTCCTTCTGGAGGCTCCAAGGAAATGTGTTTCCTCGCCGTTCCCAGCTTCCAGAGCCGTGCATCCCTTTTCTGTGGCCCTTCCGTCCGCCTCCAGATCAGCCACATAGACCTTCTCCATGGCACCCTCACTGTCACTCCTCTTTCTCTAACACCAGCCTGCTCTTGTGAGGTCCTGTGATTACACTGGGCTTACCGGGTGACCCAGGACCATTACTTTAATCACATCTGCAAAGTTGCCTTTGCCATGAAAGAGAAATATTCACAGAATCCAAAGATGAGGACATGGATGGGGCCATTGTTCTGTCTGCCACATAGACTGTTGGTTTCCGGGAATAATGGAAATACTTGCGGAGGGCCTGGGAGGAGGGAAGCAGGGGGATGGGGCTGGCAGGGGGATGGGGCTGGCAGGGCACAACAGCAGCTGGTACTTTTGAGCGCCAGTTCTCTGGTAGGCGCCATGTGCTTGATCTCAGCATTTTCTCAGAGCCACTCTGGGTTGGTTCTGCCCTAGTTGTACAGACAAGAGAGCCTCCGAGGAGCTTTCTGGGAGAGGTAAAAGTTTGAGCTGGGTCTGGAAGGGAACAAAGGGGTTTGGCAGCGAGTGAGGCAGCCATTCTCACTCACGAGGAAGAGGGGCCTTGGGGGTGACGGGCAGGGAGGTGTGTGTGGCAGTGACTGGCGATTAGTTCTTGGACGGGGCAAGTGGGGGAGATGATATGCAGGGAGGGGCAGGTGGGTGTGCACATCTGTAAATCCGTTCTCTCAATCTGACATACACTGTATTATTTCTCACGGTAGTTTAATTTTTTTTTTAATCTGATTTTTAGAGAGAGAGGAAGGGGAGGGATAGAGAGATGGAAACATCAGTGAGAAACTTCATCGATAGGCTGCCTCCAGCACACCCCCTACTGGGATTGAGCCCCAAACCCGGGCGTGTGCCCTGACCGGGAATCAAAGGGGTGACTTCTTGGTTCCTGGGTTGAGGCTAAACCGCTGAGCACACTGGCTGGGCGCTCACAGCAGTTTAGCTAAATGTTTACGTGTGAGCGCCCACCACATGCTGGGGCACAGGCAGTAATAAGACCCCAACTTGAAGTCCTGTCTGGGGCTTGGCTAGGGAATCCCAGGGCTGCATGGTGGTCACCACTTCCACCTCCCGCCTCCGCCTCCGGTAAGGAAATGCAGCACCGCCAGGAGATGCATTTGGTTGGCACCTGCTGGTCCTGCTCAGTGCCAGTGGCTGGGGAGCCACTGTGGAGACAGGGCCACCTTTTTTTTAAAAAAATATATTTTATTGATTTTTTACAGAGAGGAAGGGAGAGAGATAGAGAGTCAGAAACATCGATGAGAGAGAAACATCGACCAGCCGCCTCCTGCACATCCCCCACTGGGGATGTGCCCGCAACCCAGGTACATGCCCTTGACTGGAATCGAACCTGGGACCTTTCAGTCCACAGGCCAACGCTCTATCCACTGAGCCAAACCGCTTTCGGCAGGGCCACCTTCTAACAGGGATTAGGAATGCAGGCCTGGCCCCATGGTGACAGGGCACAGGGCCTCTCACTGTCCTGGGCTTTTGTTTGTTTGGTTGGTTTTTCGGCAGCTTTACTGACTTATAAGTGACAAGTTGCAATTATATGAATTGAAGGTGTCCAGTGTGACACTTTGACAGGTGTCTCCATGGCGAATTGGTTACCACAATCAAGCTAACTACCACCCCCTCCTCACAGAGTTACCTGTGTGTGTGTGTGTGAGAGCACTCGGGACCCGCTCCCTTAGCAGGCCTCGTGCGGACTGTGCAGTATGGCTAGCGGCGGCCACCCGCTGTGCACGCATCTCCAAGGCGAGCTCACGCCTCCTGCGTAACTGAAACTTTGTGCTGTGTGGCCACCGTCTCCATTTCCCACCTGTCTCCATTTCCACCATTTCACTTAATAATGCCCTCCAGGTATGTCCATGTTGTTTCGAATGAAAGGATTTCCTTTCATTTCTAGACCGAATACTGTGCCATCGTATGTGCCCTCCCCCATCACCACCCACGGACAGGTTACTAGTATGTCCGTGTCTGCTCTGTGAATAGCTCCGCAGCAAGCGTGGCCGGAAGCCTCAGAGGCATTCTTTCTAGTTTGGAGGAAACTGGGGACTCAGTCGGGAGCTCCAGCTGCGCAGCCAGGGCAGCCAGCTCTGCTGGGTTGCCGGTCCCGGGGGCCCCTCAGAGGGCAGCCCCTTCTCCGCCTTGCAGCTCCTGTCGTTGGCAGATGAGAAAGTCTACGTCAGGTGCTTAGCGTGGTGCCAGGTCGCAGCCAGCTGTGCACATGTGTGTGTGTCTGCCTATTTAGGAAAAATACGTGTTGTTGAGGTCGATAGGAGCAGAGGTCTCTTCTGCCTTGTCACTCATGTCACTCATTTGCAGCACAAACCACATCCTTCCTTCCTTCTCGCGGTGAGAGGCGCTCACACCAAACGGAGAGAAAACCCACAGCTCCTCTGGTTCGCGGAGTGAGAGAGATCTTGGCCTGGTGTCTAGGGGCCAGGAGAAGGCCGGCTGTCTGGGGTGCCGTGGGAAGGGAAGGGAAGCGAAGGCTCATTATTACACCTGGCATTCAACAGATAAGAACCAGACGAGATAAGTGAAGAAATAGCGGAACACGCGTGTTATTAGAGACGGGGCGCTGGCCCCCATGAGTGGCATCCAGAACGACCGGAAGTGCTGTCTCTGCAGGTGGGAGGCCAGCTGCCCGGGACCGGGACCGGAAGTGCTGTCTCTGCGGGTGGGAGGCCGGCTGCCCAGACCGGGACCGGAAGTGCTGTCTCTGTGGGTGGGAGTCCGGCTGCCCAGACCGGGAGGAAGGGGTACCGGAAGTGCTGTCTCTGCGGGTGAGAGTCCGGCTGCCCGGGACCTGTTCGCGGGAGCCCGGCAGGAGCCCGCCCGCATGGTCACACGCAGGGGCCCTAACAGGACAGCAGTGCTGTTTTTAACCAGGTGCTTTAATGGAAGTGTTATTTCTTAAGTACACAGAAATAGCACACAGTGGCCCTACGTCCTGGCGGGTTTGGACAAACCCTCTGTGTGACCCGCCAAGTTGTTCCCGCCGCCACAGGCCAGCGCTCTTTTTTTTTAAATAACCTTTTTATATACATATATTTTTTTATTGAATTTTTACAGAGAGGAAGGGAGAGGGATAGAGAGTTAGAAACATAATGAGAGAGACACATCCATCAGCTGCCTCCTGCACGCCCCCTACTGGGGATGTGCCCGCAACCAAGGTACATGCTCTTGACTGGAATTTAACCCGGACCCTTCAGTCTGAGGGCTAACTCTCTCTCCACTGAGCCAAACCGGCCAGGGCCAGGCCAAGGTTCTGGTGTTGTATGCAGAAGTCCGGGTAGTAGTTTGGCTTCAGCCACCTTTGGATTTAGGGTCTCAGGTGATGTCATCACTGTTCATTTTTCTCTGTCTCTTGTTCTTTTTTCCTTTTCATTGAATTTTTGGGGGTGACACTGGTAACAAAATCATACAGGTTTCCGGTGCACAGCTTTCCATCGTCTGCACGCTGCGCTGTGTTTCTCTCTTGCTCTGCTCTCCTCCAGACGTCAGCTTTGTTCTCTGGTGGCCTCAGTCCCTGTCTCAGATGCGTGTCCTGTCGGTCAGCCACTCAGGCCAAAGCTCCCGGCTTAGCTGTGACTGGGTCAGGTTGGTCTGGCTTGAGTCACATGCCCACCTCTGAGCCAGTCACCGTGGCTGATAACAAACTATTCTGCTTAGACCTGGGCCACGTGGCACCCGGGGCCTAGGCAGTGGGTCCCCAACCCAGGTACATGGCCTGAGAGCAGACGATAGGCAGGTCCCCAAACAAAAGCAGGTGCACGACACCAGGGGGCCCTAAGGCACCCGTCCTCTGTGGCTGCAGCAAGCACCAGTGTGTGGCGGGCCGGCTCAGTGCGGGCCATATGGCTCAGGCGCTGGCTCCCAGCGTGGGCGGCGGGGGAGTTCAGCTCCTTTCTACAGCAGGAAGGCAGCTCCTGGGGGTGTGAGGAGCCCCGCGGAGGACTAGCAGCCTTGACCAGGGCATTGCAAGCACAGTTCCTGCCCCAGCGGCCGCCAGGGGAGCCCTTCGTAGCGAGACCCAGTGAGCACAGCGATTCCGTGGCCAGAGCTTAAAATAGCCTGTTCCCCGCGGAACCCTGAAGAAGCGGGTTGGCTGCTAACCAGACATCCAACAAGACCTAGTGGCAGCGCCAGGGCGTGGGCTCAGGGCTGCCCGGCGCAGAACCCAGCTCAGCTGCAGCTTCCCGGTGTGTGGGCCTGAGTGAGGGCAGAGGGAACCTTCCCGAGAGTCCTGCTGTCTTGGGAGCTGGCTTCTGCTCCTGGCCTCAGTTTCCTACCTGCAGGAACAGGGAAGCCCCGTTAGATGGAGGTTGTTAGGAAGCTGGTGCCCTGGTTAGTACGGGCGCAGGCAGTGTGGGGCTGAGCGAGGGCCACTGGGGGCTCCTGCCTGCCTGGGAGGGCCCAACACCCTCCAGTTCCCCGGCGTCATGGGCAGATGTGGGAGCAGCTGCCACATTAGGGCTCTGGGTTGCGGCCACGGTTTTCCCGGGCCGACCTACCCAGGCATCAGCCTGTCATAAGAGATGTGATGTGGCTTTTTATAATATGGGAGAGAGGGGCTACTGAAACATAGAGAATTAGCAAGTCATAAGGAAAAAAATTATAGTAGACTATATAAAGTTACATAGCAAAGTCTGAAGATTGTCAGTCCAGGGCTACTATGCTGCCTCAAGACATAAGATTAAGCCCGGCCACCATGGCTCAGTGGTTGAGCGTCAGCCTAGCAACCAGGAGGCACATGCCGGGTTTCGGGCTCAATCCCCAGTGTGGGGCGTGCAGGAGGCAGTCAATCGATGATTCTCTCACATCATTGGTGCTTCTATCTCTCTCTCTCCCTCTCCCTTCCTCTCTGAAATCAATAAAATATATTTTTAAAAGATGCTCAAGCCTCTAATTTAAGAAAACGAACACACAAGACATAATAAACAAATAAATAAAAACCCTTCCCCATAGTTGAAAACAGTCCTACTTATATCCTCTTGGCCAGAACTTGGTCACATGCTCACACTTCACTACAAAGGAATCCGGGAAAAGTAGAACTTAGTCTAAGTGGCCATGTGCTTAGGCAAAAACCAATGATTCTGTTACTAAGAAAGAGCGAACAGTTGCTGGGGGACAGTTAGCAGGCGGCTGCTACCGCTGCATTAACAGCAAATTTCTGACAACTGAAGAGCCATGGCACAGACCTGCTCACTCAGCTCTGGAATACATACCAAGCGCCTGCCAGGTAGCGGGCACCGTGCCCAGCGCACAGCTGCTTGTCCACAGCTGCTTCTGTTCTCCAGGCTGAGGAGGGTGTCAGGTCTGTGGTGGACGTGGCCACGGACCAGGGTTCTGGAGATAATTCCCCTGTGAACTGGCTGCCGTGGAACCTCCCTCAGGACACTTACCTTCGCAGCCCCCTTCACCATGGGGGAGCTGGGGAGATGAATTCATCTGGTCAAGGTGGCCAGCAGTCCAGGCCCTTCACCACTGCTCTGAGCACTGGTTAGCACTGCCTGGAGGCTGCAGGCCGAAGCCGTGGCTCCTCCCTGGCATCATCCTGGCCCCAGATCCCAGTGACCCGGCTGGGCCTACTCACAGCTCCAGGCTCCCCGCCATGTTGTCTGCAGAGATCCTGGCCATGGGCTGACCAGGGCCGGGTAGGCACTGGGGCTGGGAGAGAGCAGGGCACGGGCCGGGCCCGGGAGGTTTTGGTGACAGGTCAGTGGCTCAGGCACTGGATCCAGGCAGTGACCTGAGGGTAAGATACAGTCGGCAGTGAACAGCCAGAGCAGCGATTGCCAAGCTGAGTGGAGTCAGTAGCGGGGATGGATTGAGGAGAAAGAGAGAACAGTAACAAGACGAGAGGCTGACGGAGGCAGCGTGCGCTGCGCGAGGTAAAGCTGATTACCTCGCCGTGTCCCGAGGTGTCGGGTCCGGTTGATGGGTGCGCGCTGGCTTGGGGTGTAAGTGCGTTTGCTGCTGGGGTGACCCTCAAGCAAGTGCCCACCTTGGATCTGGAACCCCCTGTCCACAGAGAGAGCTGTTAACAATAATTGGAATCGTTGCCTTGATCTAACATTTTAAAAAACATTTCACCTATTTATTATTTTATATTGAAGGCGACCCGGTTTTGTAAAAAAGTTAAGACAGTGTAGAAATGTGCTGTTTTACCCTAACCCTAAAAGGCTCCCACCAGCCCCACAGTCCATCACAGGGCTGGCGAGTTTTCGTGGGTCCTTGTGGAAAGTTTTGCTGCTTCTACAAACATCCTTTTCCTTTTTTATTTTTTAAAATATTTAAAATATGGTTTTATTCATTTTTAGAGAGAGAGATAGGAACATCGATGAGAGAAACATCATCCATCGGCTGCCTCCTGCACACACCTCAACTGGGGACCGAGCCCCCAAACTAGCATGTGCCCTGACTGGGATCGAACTGTGACCTCTTGATTCATAGGTTGATGCCTAACCACTGAGCATGCCTGCTGGGCTCATCTATTCTTTTGTAACTTGTATTTTTGGTGTTATTTCTAAGAAGTCTAACCGAAGGTTACAAAGATTTTCTCCTATATTTTCTTCTGATAAAGTTTTAGGTCTTAAAGTCCTTGGTCCATTTGAGTTGACTTTTGTGTGTACTGTAAGGAAGGAGTTCAACTTCATTCTTTTTCAGTGTGGATCCATTCGTCCCAGCTCCAGTTGTTGAAAAGATTATTCTTTCCCTGTTGAATAGTCTTGGTAACCTTGTCAAAAGTCAGTTGGCCATAAATGTGAAGTTCCATTTCTGGAGTCTCAGTTTCATTCCATTGATCTAGATCTCTGCCCAGTTGTCTCAATCACTGTAGCTTGGTTTTGAATTCAGGAAGTATGACTCCTCCAACTTTGTTTTGCTTTTTTCAGAACTGTATTGGCTATTCTGAGTCCCTTGAATTTCCATGTGACCTTTAGGACTTGTTTGTCAGTTTCTTCAAAGCAGCCAGCTCAGATTTTGATAGTGATTGGGTTGAACCTATAGATCAATCTGGGGAGTACTGTCCTCTTAACAATACAAATCTTCTGAACACAGGTGTCTTTCCATTTATTTAGATCTTTAATTTCTTTGGACATGCTTTGTTTTCGTTGTACAAGTCCTGCACTTGTTTTGGTAAGTGCAATTATTTTCTGAATTTCATTTCTGATTGTTCATTGGTAGTATATAGAAATAATACTGATTTTTGTTCATCAGCCTTGATGAACTCTTTCTTGACTATCTTTGCATGTCTGTGTGTATCCAGAGCTCACACTGTGACATCCCAAAGCCTTTCCTGGTTTGGGCAGGCCTCCATGGATGAGCACTGGGCTGTTTGTTACCAAGAACCTCTGAGGGCCCCTCACTCATTCCCAGGACATGAATTGAGTGCCCACTCTGCCAGGCACTCTGAAGCACTGGGACATCCTATATAATAAAAGGCTGATATGCAAATCGACAGAAGGGTGGAATACAGCAGTGGTGGCAGAAGCCTCTCCCGCCTCCACAGCGTTAGCCTTCCCCTGAGGGGTCCTGGTGTGCAAGAGGGAACAGGCCAAGCTGAGGGATCCCCCCCTGAGGGCACGAATTTTGTACACCGGGCCTCTAGTCTATACTAATAATAGCCTAGGTGGCGTCCTGCCCTCACATCGTCTGATGGCTGTGTGCCCGTGGCCACGCAGCACAGTGAGGCCTGGGAGTGCCGCAGCTCTGCGCAGTGCAGAGGAGGCTGGTCCCAGTGTCTCTACTGCCTTGCACGGAGGAGGCTGGTCCCGGTGGAGGAGGCGGGTCATGGCAGGGGAGGGCAGTTGTGGCGATCAGGCCATCAGGGGATCAGGCTGGCAGGCAGAAGTGGTTAGGAGCCAGTGGTCCCGGATTGTGAGAGGGATCCCAGATTTGAGAGGGTGCAGGCTGGGCTGAGGGACACTCCCCGCCCCCCATGCACGAATTTTGTGCACCAGGCCTCTAGTAGACAATAAATGAGTGAATGAGATGATTTCAGTCTGGGAAAATCTATGAAGAAAGTAAAACAGACTATGTGCTAGGGGAGTGACTAGTTATGCGTTTGAGAGGGGTTTTTTGTTTATAATAATTTTTTATTTTTCAAATACAGTGGATGTTCAATGTTATATTAGTTTCAGGAGTACAGCATAGGGGTTAGACCTTTATATAACTTACAAAGTGATCCCCCTGATAAGCCTAGTACTCACCTGGTACCATACTCAGTTATTGCAATATGATTGACTATCTTCCCTATCCCTGTGACTATTTTGTAACTACCAGTGATGTACTTCTTAATCCCTTCATTTTTTCACCCATCCCCCTAACAGCCGGTCCATCTGGCGCTCCTCAAATATTCTCTGTATCTGTGCGTCTGTTTCTATTTTGTTTGTTTACTTTGTTCTTTAGATTCCACATGTAAGTGAGATCATGTGGTATTGCTCTTTTCTCTGTCTGACTTATTTCACTCAGCACGATGCCCTCTAGGTCTATCTATGTTGTCACAGTGGTAATATTTCATTCTTTTTGATGGCTGAGCAGGATTCCATTGTATATATGTAGCACCATATCCAGTTGTCTACAGATGGGCATGGGTTGCTTCCATATCTTGGCTATTGTACATAACACTGCAACGGACATAAACATGCAGATATCTTTACAAATTACTATTTTGGGATTGCTGGGTCGTGAGGCTGTTCTGTTTGTAATTTTTTGAGGAATTTGAGGGGTTCTTTGAAGTGAGTCGGAGAATATTCCTAGAAATGTGGCTTTTGAGCTGGGATCCAGATGACGAGGAAGAACTCAGTGTTGGGAGATTAGGAGGGTTGTTCCTGGCATGAGGAACAACAGGACAGGCCCTGAGGTGGGAATAGGTTCCCGTGCTCACGGATGGGAGAGAGCAGTGGGCGTGGGGGCCGCCACAGCTGGAGGAGACCAGGCAGAGGCCAGGTCGCTCGGGCCTGGGCCCTTCGGAGGCACTGAGATTGTACCAAGAATGCGGAGAGGAGCTGAGGGCGAGCTGGGCGAAGGAACCCTTGATCCGAACGTCCTGAAAAGATCACTCTGGCTGTTTAAGGCAGCGCTTCTTTCCCCTGCCTTGTTTAAGCACTGAGTTCTTGGAAGCAGGATTGCTGGTCGCCGAGTTTGTACGTTTGATGTGTTCCTACTGCCGCCCGCCAGGTGCCTCCCACAGGCCGGGTGGTCTTCAGTCGGAGGTGGCAGCTCTTGTCACCAGCGGCGTGCAGATGAGGTGCCGGTGAGCCGGCCCCCACCGGCCCCAGCACCCACATTCGTGCTTCCCTTTGCAGGGCCTTCTCCGCAGCAGCTGCCCAGGAACTCTGGCTGTGCCACCCCCCCCTTGGGTACCACGGGCACCCTGGGAGCATGGCCAACGAAGACCTCATCTTCCGCCTGGAAGGCGTTGGCGGCAGCCAGACCTCCAGGGCTGGCCATGACGGGGACTCTGACACAGACAGCGACGACGACGAAGCGTACTTCATCTGCCCCATCACCGAGGACCCCCGGGCACACCAGCATGGCTGCTGCCAGGTTGGTGACTACTGCAGCGACCTAAGGAAAAGCGAGCAGCACGGCTTCGGCGCCTCCCCGGGGAGCTCCTTCAATATCAAGGTGAGTGGATCGCCGGCCCCGCCTGCCCCGGCCCAGGTCACCCCCCAGGGACGGGCAGTGGGGTCTCTCCTGTGTTCCAGACGGGGCAGCGTGTACATTCTGGGTCTGACCCCCTGCCTGTTAAGCTGATGGCCGGCTTAGAGTAGTGTTTCTAAAGAGCAGCTCGGGACCCGCTCCGGGGTTGGGAAAACCTTGATCAACTTTTTTAAGAAATGGAAGAGAACGGAAGACGAGGGAATATTGGGAGGCATTACAAATTGTAAAGATATTATTTTTCGGAACATATGTGTGCACACGTTCACACGCCTAAATGTGGTGATCAACTTAGCTTCTCACGACAGACCAGTTAACTATTTTTATTTCACTCCTGTGTGTGATATAAAATGTAGTCCTTGATGTTGGTTGCACTAATAAAAGCCAGTGCTTGGCTCGGCCTGTGTGCTCAGTGGTTGAGCATCAACCCAGGAACTACGGCCACCGGTTCGGCACCGGTTCAATTCCTGCTCAGGGCACATGCCCGGGTTGCGGGCTCCATCCCCTGTGCAGGAGGCAGCTGATTGATGAGGTTTCTCTCTCATCGATGTTGCTATCTCTCTGTCCCCTTCCCTTCCTCTCTCTGAAAATCAATAAAAACATATTTTTTTTTATAAAGAAAACCCATGCTCGGGTTGGGCATCCTCCTCTGGCTTGAGGGACTGGGCACTTGTTTTGTTCGGGGTTTGTGTTCAGATCATGGAAGCTTATGCAGAGGAGAGGGAGAGAACCATTGCCGGGCTTTTGTGTAGCTGGCGGTGAGAATAGTTTAACGCAGTACCGTTGTCCTTATTTCCTTAATCCTCACAAACAGATACGGTGTCTGGTAGGAAAGTGCTGATTACCATTAGGGCTTTGAAATTAAAATCACGTTTGTAACCTCAGAATTCATCTGTTATTGGAAAATCATGGTTCAAGCTCTTGGACAGTTGAATATTTTTTCCTCTCAGGGCCAGAAGTCTGGTTTGAGTTCCTCTGGGGCAGGCAGCTCCAGAAATAGCCCCGGGGTTCCCACTGAGGTTGGGGCCGCTGCAGGGTGAGGCTGTGGCTTGGCCCCCTGCCTGTTTTAGGGAGGCCCCAGGGGGGCGGGAGAGCTGTCTAGCCTCCTGCCGTCCATTTTAGGTCGGGAAGGCTCCAGGCACCGATGCCTGTGTGTGGCGTCCTGCCCCAGAGGGGTGGGCGGAGGGGCTCCTGAACCAGAAACCAGCTCAGGCAGGCTCCAGGCTCCAGGCGAAGGGGCATTTACTGTGACAGTTCAGGGGAGCTTCCTGGGACCCAGGGGTAGCCGTGACCAGATCCAGGAACCAGAGGCAGTAGGACCGTCTCTATCTCGTCTCTCAATCTCTGCCTAGTCTGTTTTGTTGTGTGTTTTTTTAATTGATATTTTGAGAGAGGGGGAGAGAGAAGGGGAGGGGAGGGGAAGGGAGGGGAGGGAAGAGGAATTGTTTTCCCACTTATGTATTCATTGGTCAATTTTCACATGTGCCCTGCCAGGGATCGAATCCACAACCTTGGCGTATCAGGTCGATGCTCTAACAACGGAGCTGCCGGCCAGGCCCGCTCTGTCTGTTCTCTATTCTCTGCCCCTCGGTCTACACAGTGAGAAAATGGGCCTCCCAGCCACGGTCCCCTCCTTACAGATGGGGCCACATGCAAAGGCAGATTTGACCTCTGCACCGCAATTCCGCGGGTGCGAGGAGGGGAACCTGGTCGTCCTAGCTTGGGTCAGGCATCCTCCATCTCTGATGTGGTCCGTGCTGGCCAGGGCATGGGATGGGGCTGGGGCAGGGGGTCACAGAAGAGGGGCTGTTTCCAGGGCAGGAGGATCCTGCTGGTCTCTGGGGGTGGGGGTGGGGGGGAGAGGGGAGGACTCAGGACGGGCTCCATCCAGCTGCCTGTTCTCAGGAAACGGGTCTGGGGGGCCTCTAGCACACTGAGTGGGTCCCCAAGCTCAAGGGTCTTAAACACGGATGGACACACTCTCTGAACACAACAGCTCAGTATGGCGAGGCTTTTAAAGGGAACGCAGGACAAGTGATCCAGGAAGGATTTTTTCTGTAGGCGTGCCTTTAGAGCAGCGGTTCTCAACCTGTGGGTCGCGACCCCTTTGGCGGCGGAACGACCCTTTCACAGGGGTCGCCTAAGACCATCCTGCATATCAGATATTTACATTACGATTCATAACAGTAGCAACGTTACAGTTATGCAGTAGCAACAAAAATAATTTTATGGTTGTGTCACAACATGAGGAACTGTATTTAAGGGGCCAGAAGGTTGAGAACCATTGCTTTAGAGCGTGAGCTTCGTGAGGGCAGGGCCCTGTGTGACCTTCCACCACTCACCCAGTGGAACTGGCAGCCGTGGGCAAACTACAGCCTGCGGGCCGTATCCTGCCCGTTTGAAATGAATAAAACTAAAAAAAAAAAAAAAAAGACCGTACCCTTTTATGTAATGATGTTTACTTTGAATTTATATTAGTTCACACAAACACTCCATCCATGCTTTTGTTCCGGCCCTCCGGTCCAGTTTAAGAACCCGTTGTGGCCCTCGAGTCAAAAAGTTTGCCCACCCCAGTGCCTAGAGCCATGCTGTGCACACAGTAGGTGCTTCATTTGGAATCAGTGAGGCGATGGTTGAATGCTGAGCGCACTGCCCTGTGGGTGCTGTCTCTCCAAAGAGCACATGGAAGACAGTATTTACATAAAGCCCCTGTGGGCCATGGGCCATGTCACTGACAGAAGTTATCGCAGTAAAACATTTATAGCTCCGACGGCAATGCCTTCTCCAAGATCCCTCCTCAGCCAAAGGGTCCCATCCAGGGTGCTGCTGACATTTGGGAGGGACAGTCCTTAGTGAGTAGGAATGTCCCTTGTACTGCAGGAGTCAGCAGGCCTGGCCCCTGCCCACAGGGCCACACACCCCAGTCATTGTGACAACCCCAAGTATTCTCCGTCTGTTTGCAAATCCCCATGGGGTCCCGCCTCCACCAAGAGCCAGGACAGAAGTGTTTGTACCAGCGCTCAGATTTACACACTCAGAGTGTGCTCTGCACGGCTGGGGATGAAGGAAAACATGGGAGCCGCTCAAATGTCCGTCCAGAGGAGCCTGTTACAGACCCAGGCTCCACCGAGTGCTGCATTCACATGCGAGCAGAGGTGACCTTGCCTGTGGTTTGACTTGGAAACCGGGCGAAGATATGTAAATCTGGGGGCGCGTCTGTGGAGAGCCTTTGGCACAGTGCTGGTCCTTACGTACCATCTGTTTTGATTTTCATATGCTGTTTTGTTTTTATTTTATTGTTTAATATATTTTTATTTATTTCAGAGAGGAAGGGAGAGGGAGAGAGAGATTGAAACATCAGTAATGAGAGAGGATCATTGATGGGCTGCCTCCTGCATGCCCCCTACTGGGGATTGAGCCCACAACCCAGGCATATGCCCTTGATTGTAATCGAACCCAGGACCCTTTAGTCCGCAGGGCAATGCTCTATCCACTGAGCCAAACCGGCTAGGGCTGCTGTTTTTTTGTATATGCTGATAAGTAAAAAAGCAAGTTGAAATATAATACAATCCCACTTTTATATAAGCATATATATATATACACATATATTTGTATTTGCATGACAAAAACTGACAGAATTTTGCATGCAACAATGAACAGTAATTCTCTCTGGGGGGAAGGGTACAGTTAAGGGGGACTTCGATGATCTATATTATTACATATTATATATGTTATATATTATACATTACACATTATTTTAAACATTTGGAGCTTTTAAAGCTACATGCATGTTACTTACATGCAGAAAGAATGTTTTAGAAGAACAATAAAGCAAAAATCCAATCAAGAAGGCAAAGTTCCAAGCCCTCCCCAAGCCTGGCTTTGCCTCTGGTGCCTCTTCCTGAAGCCTCTGTCGTCGGCAGTCTGTGTGTCTGTAGAATGGTTAGGGAGGCTCCCGGACCTGAGCTGAAGACAGGTGCCCTGGCCCTCTCTGTGCCTCCGGGGGCTGGGCACCCTCTGAGCTCTCTGAGCCCGTCGCCCTGTCGTTCTCTGCGGATGGGTCAGCCTGACGGCAAGGCTCTTGGGTGCCCACGACTAGGCCCTAGGTCGTCAGAAGTGGGCCCAGGGGGTTCCTTGGCCGGTGGTGACTTTGGAGGGAGACAGCAGCTCATTTTTCCAAACCTCACTCTTCCTGGCACTCGACACACCTAACCTGTTTTTTATTTACTGTCGACATGGCAACCTGGCTGGTTTAAGCAAAATGGCCACCTGGCATTCCTCCAGCAGCTCCGCCAGGCAGGTGTTGGGCGTGGATTGGGTGCGGGTTCTGTCCCTGCCCCGGCCAGGCCCTTTGTGTGCCCGCCCACACACACGCGCCCACAGGGGCAGTGTTCGGTAATGCGAGTCGCGCCTTTCTCCTTCTCTCTCATTTCTGTTTTCCAGAATAAGCAAATCTATGTTTTACATTTTTAATAGAGGAGGACATTTTATTTTTAAAAATTGCTTTCCTGGCCTGGGACACTGGGCATCACTCCACATCAGCACACTCTCCCGTGTTTAGGGCGGATCACACTGTGTTCCGTCACACGGTGTGTGAGTTCGGTGAGCCCTCTTGAGGGACACTTATGTTGTTTCAGTGCCGTAATACATGCGCTTCTACATGTATGTGAGCAAAGTTTAAAATGCATATGTTTTACAGCGTGTGAATATATGAGCAAGGTAAAAAGAACTCACACTGTAGGAATTATACACACCGAAAAGCCCCCGCCTCGGCCCCTCTTTCCTCGCACGGCGGGCTGATGCCAGCCAGCGCTTTCCTGGCAGGCGCTGTGGCAGGCGGGGCGCTCGCTGCACGCGGCTCATGTCCATTCCTGTAACCTGCACAGCAGACCTTGACCGTTAGCATTTGACAGACAGCAAAGCTGAGCCCCTGCGGTCCTCACCACTGGCCGCTCTGGATGACCGCG